CCCCCCCCCCTTGTCATATTTAATGAACATTCCCTTACTAGTTGTAAGTCGTATAATTAAACATTAATACTAAACATTAATGTTTCTTGACTTTCTTACTCAGAATATCTCGCAAACGTGTTCTTCAAATCATCCTTGTATATATCATCTCAACAATGAACCATGAGTCAAACGTGTGACTTCGCACGTCGACCTGCATGGGTGTAATTGTAAGTAATGCCGTAATGGTCTTAAGTTAAGTGGTCTACCGACGCAGATCATCACTTGCAATGTTAAGCCACTGCTAGGACAAATCGATTTTTTCTTCGAAGAAATTGTACCCATATCAACAGATATCCGTCGTCGACGTTTACTCTGTAAATAAAAGGAAAGTTTAATTTTTATATACTAAAGTTCATATACTAAAGTTGATAATACGGATATCTACCCATATACCTTACCATGCAATGCAATGGCCAATGCAGGCATCACCTTCAGTAAATAGTTCAGTTCAACTACATGAACTTTGCGGTTAGACCTCAACAATTAACAAGTCAGTTGGTTAATTAAAGCGCTACACCGGAATGGCAGGACCGCAGGTTTGAGGCCTATAAACAAGTGTATATTAAAAGCTTCTATCTTACAAACCCCTTCAACATTAATTAGTTCAATCGAGTGAGATGCGGACCATGCGGTAGTTTAATTAATTATTTTTCAGAACGGCAGAAAGCTTAAAAAAAATCACCCGACACCGCCCCCATTTCAGTCAGCGCGGTTTCCATGTTGCCATGACAACGGCTTCACTCATCATTCGCTGACATAATTAAATACTTTACGAAAAGACATATAGAAGTTCAAACAAAACAAGTTTACCGTGTTTCAATAATAATTTATCTTTAATGTCGTTCATAAAGTGGATGCTATGTATCTATACGGTATTTCTAAAGATTTCGTTTACCGAATGCCTGATCTTAGACGGTGAAATAGCCACAGATAAAAAGGTAAATATAGTATTTGAATCCGTTCGTATTATTAAATACGAGCACATATATAAATACACGGATGTTATATTCAAGGAAACAATTCATATATTTGGGTATTGTACGACAGAAATAATGATCTACTATTTGTTGTATGTTCAAGGATTGGCAATTCGTCGCTCGATTCTGCTTTCGAAGATCGTTGGCGAAAATGACGTTTCACTTCGTGTATCCAGAAGTAAGAATCATGATATATTATACTATGAATGCATGTCTTGGCAGCTTCGATCCGCAGCTGCAAAACATGTAATTGCTTTTGTAACTAATGTAATACAATAACATGTGGATGCACATTCGTAAACTTATATGTTTGAAGGCCGATTTATACTAGACACAACTTTTGACTAAAACTGTCGCGTGCAACCTGCTTACAACTTGAGTTATATACTGTATAAATCAAGTTGTCTGCTTGATTTACACATACACCGCGACCAGCAATAGTTGTGTTGTGTTAGTGTAAATTGTCCTGTACGCAGTACAATTCAAGTTGTAAGCAGGTTGCACGCGACAGTTTTAGGCAAAAGTTATGTAGTGTAAATTGACCTTTGAATTTAATGTTTCCTGTATAAGTTAACAAAAGCTGAGCAACACTTGCCAATATCCCACTATTTTCCAATACGAGTTTGTCTGTAGTGCTGTCTACAGTGGCAAAAATGGCCCCGAAACTGGCAATTTTCATGTTCAAATAACAAATTTCATGATATGTACACAAAGTTTCACATTGTTTGGAATCAGACACTTAATTGGACAGTTTGGTCTATACATTTTTCTGTACATTGAAGATGCCTAATTATATACTTCAATTTGTCGGGCTGATTTTCGGTTTTGCTTTATGATAATTACGTACACATATATTCAGAACAGAATAATTACTGTAAAGCCCTGTACAGAGAGCAAGACTATAGACAGTGTTCCTTGACAAATGACAAGCTTCATTGACAGTTTACAGTATCTTCTTGTGTGTATACAGTCAACAAGTTTTCCTTGACAAGTTTTGTTGCTTGTGTCAGTTGTGTGCACAGAATATCATTTAAAAAACATTTATTTATCTCTCATGAAGGCCGCCTTTTGTTTGCCAGAAGCATTACTGAAGTATTTCTTGTACACTTGTCACATTTTCCTTGGCGGCCGCATACACACAAATAAATTTTCCTAATGTTCTAAAGCTGGCATAACCAGCTTTGGAACAAGGCTCATTAGGCAAGGAGAAACTGTCAATTTTTTGCCATACCCACAAGCAAATAAAACTTGTCAAGGAAAACTTGCTCATCTCTACGGGGCTCACTGTCCATGCAGTTCTAACAATGAGTAGACATCCAGGCATGCAGCCATTTCACCATTTTGTTCACTATGAAAATGGCCAATATATGACTGCATGACTATAACAGTTACATGTATATTGAATCCCAGCTGTTAGAATCCTGGCTGGATCCTGCTAGGAATTTACAGTAGGATCACTAACTCTGGTAAAATCCTTTTTGATTCTGCCCGGTTAAATTTTATAGGATCCTGCTAGGAAATTTGTGTATGTGATCCTAAATAGGATCCTATCAAATTCCTAGCAAAATGCTGTAGCATTTTGCCGGGGATACTACAAATTTCCTAGAAGGATCCTATAAGATTTTGCCAGGATCCAACCATGGATCCGGCAAGATTTCGCCAGCATCCTACAAACTCCTAGCAGGTTTTTTTCAGGATTTTCTCTTGGGTCCGTTTTTGCAGAGAAGATTTGCAGAGAAGATTGAGTTTAGCTGAACAGCTGGGGTGGCTGCACCCCCCCCCCCCCCCCCCCCCCCC